TAGCAAGCCTAGTCTCAAATAGAATGTAAAGCAGGGGAATTAATAAGCGAGAGACTACTCAAAGAGTACAGCTATAGCATGATGTGAGCCTAAGTCTACTCGGACAATAACATGAATGTAGCTACGTACGGGCTCTCGTCACCTCACGCGTACGTAGTCTCCACAACAAGTAGCATACATCAAACATATCACCTAGGGGTAATTTTCCTCTCACAGAGTTAGACAGGAGACTTACCTCGCTCCAAAGTTCTATAACCGGCTCCAACGCCGCTCTAACACCTCAAACCGATTATCGCCGATCCAAAACTAATCAAATAAGATGCAACCCAATCAAAATATACTCTAATACTCATAATTAATCAATTTATAATAATTTCCAACTCCGCTCGAAAAATTGATAAAGCAACCCTCGAGCCCACGTGCCCGGATTCCGAAAATTTTCGAAGATAAACACTACTCATGGCATTACGAACTCCAATATATAATTTATTCTCAATTCCCTGCCCAAATTCGTGGTCAAAATTCAAAAATACTAATTTCTAGGTTTTTCTTCAAAATCCCAAATTTCTACAAATTTTCATATCTTAATCCATGTATAAACCTTTTATTTAACTCACAACTAGAAGAAATCACTTACCTCTTGATGATGATGGAACCCCCTCTCAAAATGCTCTCAAAAATGGCCTAAGTTCAAGTGGGAAATGAGGGAAATGAGCTAAGTCTCGGAATAAAAGCCCTTGGCTCCAGTCGCAGATGTCGCATTTGCGACAAGGGGGTTCGCAAATGCGACCTTCGCAAATGCGACCCCTGACAGAGTTGGCCTTCATCTCAAATGCGATACAGAGTTCGCAAATGCGAACTCTTCAGGCTTCGCAAAAGCGACCATATTATCGCAAATGCGATCCATTCCCTCAGCAGCCCAGGTTCACAAATGCGAACAATGCCTCGCAATTGCGATCAAACCAGAACCAGCAATCCAACTTCTTAACAAAACACTCTGAAGCCACTCTGAAACTCACCCGATCCCCCGGGGCTCCAAACCAAACACCCACACAAGTCTAAAAATATAACACGAACTTGCTTAAGGACTCAAATAATATTGAACAACGTCGAATTCATGAATCGCACCCCATTCCAAGCTTAATGAACTTTAGAACTTCAAACTTCTACATTCGATGTCGGAACCTATCAAATCATGTCCGATTGACCTCAAATTTTGCACACAAGTCATAATTGTCATTACGGACCTACTCCAACTTCCGGAATTGGAATCCGACCCCGATATCAAAAAGTCCACTCCCGGTCAAACTCCTCAAAAACCTTCAAATTCCAACTTTCGCCAAATGACCTACGGACCTTCAAATCCACATCCGGACGTGCTTCCAATACCAGAATTACCATACGGAACTATTCCCAGGCTCGAAATCCCAAATGGATATCAATAACATTGAAATATACTTCAACCCAAATTTAGGAAATTCTTCCAAAATGCCAACTTCCATAATAGGCGCTGAAACGCTCCTGGGTCACCCAAAACCCGATCCGGACATACGCCCAAGTCCAAAAATCATCATACGAACCTGTTGGAACCTTCCAATCCTGATTCCGAGGTTATTTACTCAAAAATCATACTTTAGTCAATTCCTCCAACTTAAGGCTTCCGAAATTAGAATTTTCTTCCCAAACTAACTCCAAACTTCCCGAAATTCAATTCCGAACTTACGCGCAAGTCATAATACCTGAAGTGAAATTACTCAAGGCCTCAAATCGCCGAACGACGTACTAGAGATCAAAACGACCGATCGGATCGTTACAAACATGCTCCTTCACAGACAAGCTGTAGATTTGGATGTCATAAAAAAAACTAGAACAAACTTCCTAAGGAATGGTTAGAAAACCTTATTCATTAATGCTTGAAAGGTTGATGGTGAATTGATCGAACCAAATGGAATGACTCTAAATTCATAATAGCCCGTCTGAGTTCTGAAAGTTATTTTATACACATCCTCCACCTTCATCGTGATTTGGTGGTAACCAGCTCTCAAATCTACCTTGAAGAAGATCGCAGACCTCATCTAAAAGGTCATCCATAATAGGAATGGGATACTTATCCTTCACTGTGATATCATTCAGACCTCTATAATTCATACAAAACCTCGATATACCATCCTTCTTTTTGACAAGCAGTGTTGGTGATGAAAACGAAGATTGACTATATTGAATTATGCCATTAATAAGCATCTTCTTAATATGTTTCTCCAACTCATCCTTCTAATGGTAGTTATACATGTAAGGCCTCAAACTAACTGGTAGGGATCCAGGTTTCTCCAACTCTTTAGCTGTGTTCACATCAATGAAACTATGAGTGTTCCTAGAGTCAATTAGCATTGTTAGTTTCATATTCTTTATAGTACCTCTGACCAGTATAGTGTTAACCCCTATGTTGTCACCTGAGAGAACATTCATGCAAACAGCCTTCAGGGCCTCTTGCTCTACCTCACCTTCAATGATCAAGCATGCACACGACTAATCCTCATCTAGCTCAGAATATTCCGGATGGGCCTCAACCTCACCCAACATGCAGTTCAATTGTTTCTTCTTACATTGATGGCATGGGCATACTTTTCACCACACCTGAAACACAAGGGGTTATTCTTCTTGTACTCGTATACTTCAGGGCTAAGCCTGAAGGAATTAGGTTTGATTGCAGCTATAACATGAGTCCTTACATTCACAGAGATACTAGTCACAGTGAAAGGCTTGGTAATGATTTTGTTCTTCTTCTGAGCAGCTTCAATAGCCTTCTCTTGTAATCTAGCTTGCTCAACAGCAAACCTCAGGGTTGTAGGTTTGAACAACTTCATACCAAACCTGATCTTTTCCTTTAAGGCCCCTATGAAACTAGAAATAAAATGTGACTCATCCAGGTGAGGATTCCTCACCAACATTTGAGTCTTCATAACCTCAAACTTTCCCATAAATTCATCAACAAGCCAAGTTGATTCAGCTTGTTGAACTCCTCAACTATATCCCTCATCAGTCCTTCTCCAAATTGAATAAGTAACTCATCTATGTTAACTTTACCCATACTTAACACTAGTGAATGATACCAAGTGTCAGCTAAGCCATTTAAGTAGAGTGCAACTGCTTTTACCTTTTGATTATCCGGAGTCCGATATAAATTGAAATACCTTTCGCACTTACTGATCCATAGCTTAGGCTCATGTCCCTCAAAACTGGGCAACTCCCATTTAGACGAGGGAGCTTGAACAGCTTGAGGCATGTTTTGCCTCACTTCCTGGCCTGGATGGGAAGGAGTCTATCTCCTTGTGGTTGATCACCTTGAGCTCTCTGAGGCACCCTTTCTAGGGTCGTTAACGTATCGAGAATCAACTGTAAAGTCCCTTGAATCCCAGTCTGTGTGTTGCACAATTCCTTCTGACTGGTGAGCACCTCATTTAAAACTTTGTCGTGTTTAGCAAGCTTGTCATCCATTACTTTCAACCTAGTTCCTTCAACCATTCCAACCGCAGAGTCGCACGATCGTGGCTCTGATACCAAATGTCACGATCCAGATATGGATCTGAGATTTAACAATTTAAATGCAAAATTTAAAAAGTTTTTTGGGACAATTTTCTATTTTTATATAAAGAAAAATGGATATCTAATATAAAGTGAAATAAACTGAATTTAACTAAACTATCGAGCTAGATGATCCTCCATGGCTGACTGAAGATCTGCAGAAGAAAGAGAAGAAGAGATTAAGAAATGGGGAAGAATGAGAAGGTAGAGATCGAGTGAGAGAGAATTTGAGAAGGCGAGAAAATAACTTGAGATTCATTGCCTTCTCTCTCCTGTCCAAGTTGGTTATAACAACCACCAGCCAGCGTGGATCGTAGCCCTTGCGGCTCATTTATTGAGAATCAATCGCAGCCGTTATTTTGAAAATTAGTTACTACCTCGCCTGAGCTTATTCAACATCAAACCCAACCAACAACATTTGAATCCCTATTTTTGGTCTATCACAGTTGGGCCATTACAGAAAAAGGTCAAAACTTTGTAAGGTTTAGTTTCTTTATTTTGGAACTACATAATGGGAAGCTTTTTAAAGTTACCCGAAGGGGGGAAAAAGCTCTAGTAACCTTCATGCTGAGGAGTAGAAAGAGAACCTAACTTGAGATGCTCTTTTGGTTAGACATATATGAACTTAAAAATGGGGATGTTTGATTTGTACATCACTACATTGTTCAAGTGAATCAAAGAAAAAAAGTGAACTCGAGCGAAAACAAAGATTAAAAAGAGTGAGGCAAAATATCAAAATTATAATTATAAAATGGTTTTAAAATGCCCAAGATAAAAAGCTGCCATATGCATTTAAAAGTTAAGCTACCAATGAGGGCTTATGGGTAAAGAAGAAAGGTCATTGACAAGAGACAGGGAAAAGCACGAGATACAAAATTAAGTAGTCCCCCTCTCCCAATTTTTTTTTTTTTTTGACACTTTTCCTTTTCGAGATCCAAACTTCTTACTTTTGACTGGATATTTAAACATAGAATTTTTAAATTTTTCGAAATAAATTTTATATATTTCTACGTAATAAGTACTATAAGTCACAATAATTAATGATTCAAAATACTTGAAAGGCATATGAAAAAATTATGGTCAAAGAACAACTAGTTTGACTCTGAAAATCCGAACACGTTCACATAAATTGGGATGGAGGGAGTAGTAGCGAAGGAAATTGTAAACATTCTTCTTTCATATGAAGTACAATGCTTCGTTTGCCATCAAATATATGAGTCAACTAAAAGCAATTATTGTACTTGGCAGCAAATAGGCCAAGCAAAGAACCTGAATTCTAGTTTAAAGTAACACAGTATTTCCTCTACATGATAAGCAGCAGCGACTGACACTCAAATTTTGTTCATTTTTTATCTAAAATATAGGATGTCAAAGGAGATCATAGAGTTCCTTATATGAAGGCAAAGGAATATATGGATTTCTCTCCCATCTTCACAGTGTGGACTGTGAAATCAAGCTGCCCATGGTTTTCCTCTAAGATAACAATATTCATGCAAGGATGTTCATATCTTAGAAATGTCTCTTGTTCTTTCATCAAACAAACCTAGTTCTCTGACTAATTGATCTTCATGAGTTTGATGCTTATGCGCCCGTAGAATGAAGCCTTCCAGTGAGAATTTGGCTCAAGTTTCAGTGTGTCAAAGTAAACGGCGAAATAAGTAAGTGTTCAAAGTAAGTGTTCGTTACTTGCCGCTGCTACCCTTTTGAGAATTGTCCATACTATGGGCGGCAGCATCTTTGGAATCAGTACATGGGGTGAGTGGTGGGAAAGAAGGAACAGCTCGCAATATGAACTTCCGGCCAGTTTTTAAGCCTCCTCCAGATGAGCTAGAACCAAGCTCATTCAAATGACGATTAGGTGGAGAAATACGCTTCTTATTTGGGGAGCTTACTTTCACACCAGTTTGTGGCATAGAAGAGTCCTTTAGTATTTCCGGTGTGTCATCTGCCATTGCATATGGCTTCTTATCAGAGTTTAGTAATTCCAGAGCATTCATCCCACTCCCATCAAATTGGTTCATAGGGGTTATCGGTGAGTCACGCCAGGATAGCGGCCACGTTGATTGGAAATGGACAGTTTGAGGAATCAGTTGACCACCTGTATTACTTGCCAAATCTTGTGACTTTGGTAACGCCAAAAGATCATCCGTATTGCCAGTCACATGAAACCCTGGTGAGAATTCATTTGCTAATTTTGCATTGCTATAATTAAACTCCTGATCGAAGGTAACAAGATCCATAATATCACCAGTAGTTTCCTGGTCTATGTCATGATTCTTAGAATTTGTAGGAGATGCTGGGGACAGCCCATAAATAGCTTGACCAGATTCAGGTGAAGAAAGGTATCTTCCAGAAGTAAACCAAGATTTAGATGCATTCTTCCCATGGCTAGAGTTGCATAGAGGTATCAATAGTAAGAAGGAAAATAAGAAAATCATTTGTCAGAAGTAGAAATAAGAAAATCGTATCAATTGAGTAGTCAGGATAGTTTGAAGTGATGGAGCAATAGAAGTCACAAAGATCTTACTTTGAGCACTGGAATGAAGGTGTAGGAGGAGTTAAGTTGCATTGATTTCTTTGATCAATTTGCAATAACCCACTTGTAGCTGTCACCATTTCCACCTTTTCCTCAACTGACTTCTCCAATCTCTCAGTGATGCAATGTTTTTTCACCAAATCTTTACCGTATTCTAAACACACAAAAAGAAAGAGAGAAAAAAAACATAAAGAACAGAAAGAAAAAGAATGGACAGCATAATGGCCAAGAAAAGAAAATATAAGGCAGCTCAAGCGCTCTTGATCACATCACCGTGATTCTTTTTTTCATTTCTTTTTTTCTGAAAGGAATCATATCACTGCGATACAACACATTGTCAACATGGAGAATGGTGCGGTACTAACACTATCTTTCAGAAGTATAAAAATTCTTTTTCTCTTGTTTAGTCTGAATAAGGAATGTTACTCCACATTTTAAAAGTTTAGCTACTCATTTTTGGGTTGAAGAAAGAGAACTCTCTCTCTGAGAGAGAGAGAATAAAAGCTAAGGTCAGACTGTGAGGAACTTTGGAAACCAAGGAATATAGAGCAAATACTATATGAATGTCTCTAACTTCAGAATTGGATTGTATGGGCAAAGCAAGCATGTTTTTTCTACAAGGACTACTCCAACCAGGCTAATGTTTCAGTATTATGTACAAAATCTATGGCCTGAAACAATAGAAAGAGAAATTTAGAGTAATAAGAGGAGAGGTGAAGAGGGGGCAGCCCTTGCCCAATCATTCAACTTTGCTCAAACAAGTACATGTTGTACATAGAAAAATTCCTCTTGTCTAGTTAGCATACTATTCTCACGCTTTCAGGGCCAGGCTGGGAAGGCTAATGAGGCAGGTTTATGGTTAGAAAGGAGAGGTGAGGAGAAAAGGTGGCAACCTTGGCTCTGTCTGAAACTGCTCCAACTTAAGTTATATCAGATTCATCAATGAACTAGTACATCATCAAGAACTTTAGTATAGCCAAAACTTCATTACTGAATTTACAAGAGAACCAGCTTAATTTGTTGTCAACTTCACCAAGTTGACCATAGTTGTGACTTGTGACATTGGCTTATCAAGGGATAGGATTGCACTTGTTTCCTTGATGGATGGAATTAGTTGAAACTCCAAATTATCTCTTAGTTAGACCTAATTCTACAAAGTGCATCGAGATACAACGTCTAGGATATGCATTTCATTGTTCTGACTAGTAGAGAGGAAGAGAAAATGAGGGACACCGTGTTTAGCCTGCATATTTGTGCTACGTATGATATATTCACCTTTTTATCACATACAGCATTCTATGTTCATTATCACACATATTTCACTTAGACTGAACCAACAAAAGAGTGACTTCGCTTAAGCTTATATAAGCAGACCTCACTTGATGACGGGCTTGTATCAATGAGAAAAAGGGTAAGACCAGTCAAGCTCAAGTATTTGGTATTATCCATATTTGGGAAGTTTAGAACAACATATCTTGTTCTCATCAAACAAAAAAATTCAATTGTCAGTCATTGACCACTTACTATGAGACAAGCCCATTAAAACATATTTTATATTTAGAGTTAACTACTATGGTCATTTTTTACAATGAACCATTTTTACTGTGAGACAAGCACATTAAAGCATATGTTAACATTTAGACTTGTCAAATACTATAGTTATCTCAGAAACCTCAAAGCATTATATTGTGATAGAAATAGATTCTACCATTAAAGAAAGTAGTCTGGTACCTACATGCTAATATTATCCCTTGATATCTAAAAAATTAGTCATTTTATGTACCTAATGGGAATCCCTACACTGCAATACATACAAAGAATCATCAACAAAAATATGAGTAATGACAGTCAAAAGCATAGGGAAAGATAATGTTCTACTTAAGATGCTAGGCTGTTCTTTTCTTGTAGGAAAGACACTCTTAACTCAGCAAGTTAGCAGGAAAAAGTTATGTTGCTAATACCTTCCTTCAGACCATAGACATTTTTACATCCTTCACAACGGCATCCACTGGAACATCCAACATTAGCCTGTTAAGATAAAAGAAGGAAAAACAACTTAGTTAATTGAGAAAAAGCAAAGAATTAGAACGCATGGTATATGACAGAAATGTACCTGATAGCACTCGCAGTACTTTTTCAAACACATTGACTTCTTGCAGCTACAACCTCTTTTGTGCCTTGCAGACGGAGGCGTAAAACTTGCTCCCTCCGCCTGTAAAATTGCAAGTAGATAGATATGTCAATTGTGAGGAGATTGAGCTTCCTGAATAAAAGAAGCTCTCGGAAGAGTTGAATACCCCAAGAATATTCGCAGGAGAATCAGTGGGATGCTGCACAATTTTTGGACAAAATGCCAGGGGATTCCGAGATTGGATTTGTTGCCGCACATCATTGACCGTGTCTTCATATTCAAGTCTGTTGAAGCAACCTTGACAAGCACAAGACCCCGCACAATATATTCCAGCAGCAAAGCAATCACAATAACTGAATATAAACAAAATTCAGTAGACATGTAATGGATGTTAAAGATCAGCTATGCAAACATTTTAAACAACTTACAGTTTCAAGCATTTACTCTTCTTACAATTGCATCTTTTGCAGCCATCACCATCATAGCCATCTGAGGGTTTCTTCCTGAATTACACAAACATAAAATTCTGTAAAAAAGCAATTGGACATATTAAGCTACTTATTTGGAGATATAACAAGCAGGCTTGCCTTTTCTTTTTGGGGCTGGACTGATTGTAATCCATAGGGCTGTCAATATATTCGGCGCTAGCCTTCCTTTTGTGACTTATAGTATGCTCCGTTGGCTTCAAGAGCACAGTGTTGTTTAAAGGTTTTGCATCATTGAGATGCAAAGAGGCAGCACTTTGTGCATTCGTCCCATAACTTTCATGTTCACCATCATAGTTACCGCTAGTCAAATGGCTCCCAACCACATTTGAAGATATCGAGCAACTCTTTAAGTTCTCAGAAGGGTGACAGCTCATCATGGACGTCAACTTCTTCTCATGTAAGCTCAAGTTACCCCTCTCAGCTGATTTCACGCTTACAGTTGCACGAGAACCAGCTTGCATAGCTATACTATTTAAGTGCAAGCCAATACCAGATGGCTTGGGAACTTTAACAGCAAGGCTTTCAAAATTGTCAGAAGAAGATGTCAGTTGGGTAGATGGCCTATTGCTTGCAGTTGATGATCTATTTGATGAAACTGATGCTACGACCTCTATGACAGCAGGACTGACTGGTGGTATTGAGCAGCTCACAACACCTGAAGCGTTCTGTAAACCCAAGCTAGTTGGTGATATCTTCCGTTGAGCATCTTCAAATTGGAGACAACGCCTACGTATTCCACTTTGATGTTGACCAGCCTACATTTTTTTTCTAACCATTTAGGCCATAACTATATGTTCATTTATCATGATCAAACGCAAAAGTGTCATCAAGATTTGTAAGTTCCTATACTACTGTTTCAAAAGCAACATGGATTTTCTGTGCTTGCCTTTTACAGAAAGTCACCGACTCAAGAGAATTAAACAGGGACATCAGCAGAATTTTCAGAAACCACTAGCACAGCTTCAAACAGGTGCTTATGGACAGTGAGATGAGGTTGCATGTGTTTTTTCTTGTTAGCAGGGGCAACAATCAAATTAACCTGTCATGTCGGTGGGATTATAAACCAACTGGATGGCATATGAGAAAGGAGAAATGGAGGCATACAGATATTCTATGACAAAAGCCTTGGCACGAGGTAGCCTTTACCAACAAAAAGGTAAACTCTTTCCACCAGTCTCTTAGGCCAGACTTCATACTTATTGTAAATTACTATTCAATGGCACCAGTACGTCTTTCAAGAATAAAGGCAAGAGGATAGATAGCAGATCCCCCAATACTGAAAAGTTTCAGTTACAGCATGTAGCCTGTAGGCATAACTTCCACTATCTTGAGTCACAACAATCCAGATGGACGGGAGAAAAATGAATGTAACCTCCATTCTAAATCAGGTATCAAGTTAGAAGGCAGGGGTATTAGGAGCTGAAGCCTTACCTCATTTAAATGGAAGTGGGTCCAGAGTAGAGACAATAACGAGCCCCCAGGGCTTTGGTTCAGTGGCTAGGGCATATGTAACGAGTTCAAACCCTGCCATTAACTGAAGCCTAGTATTTAAGTGGGAGCAAGGTAGAGAGGTGGGCCCATACTCTCAGAACCTCCTCGGAGAATATAAGGTTTTCATGAGACTGATCTTGAACTGCCATTCAAGCGCGAATACCTTCGTTTAAGAGAATAGTTGTAGTCTCAAGGTTTGTACCTGCTGACCAACTGAAGTTGGGCCAGCTATCTCATGAGGTATTTCTCGATTATAAAAGAAGGATAATGTTAAGTTCTTCATGATTTTAAACCTCAATCATTAGTACAAAGCCATGTCTCATTTCATATTCTGAAACAATGATAATAAGCTTATTGATGTTTAAGTGACTTGTAGTAAAATAGACAGAATCGTGAGACTCAAATAAACTGAGCATAAGTGAAAAGACAAGGTATTTAGTGAGCACTTCGATATGGGCCAATGACCATTAAAAATGTTTAGCAAGCACGTTGACGAAGGAACATATGAATGTTGTGAGTTGCAAGAGGATTTACATTAGTTTTTTTCCTATATATCACTGAATTTGCATAATTATCAATGTTGGTTCAATTTTGGGCAATACTATCTGAACATGAACATCTCACACCTTGGTTTGAGAATCATGCTGCATAATGCATTCATCTGGTGCACTTGACATTGAGTTAATCTTATCATTATCGTTTCTGCAATCATGTGCAGTCTCCAATGGTTCGTTCTGTATATCAGAAGCGTCATCCAACATAGCGTGGTCAGCCCTTGAAAGCTGCAATTCAAAAAAAATGGAAATGACATAAATAGCTCATATAACATGAGTTCCTCCAAAAATCAAATAGAAAGAAACGGTATTACCTGAGCCATCTGACGGCCACTATAATGATAATGCAATGAATTATCAGCAAGCAAGTCAGGCTCAATCTTTGTGCATGAATTGAGAGATGGCAGATCAGAATCAGTACTGGTACTGTAAATCCCATTATCTTTCTGATCAGATGAGGACTTTCCCTTATTCTCCTCTTCAGCTTGCTCTACAACAAGACGGGCAGCATCTTTTGGAATCTCGTCTTTTCTTGCATCCTTACTTGCAAAATCAGCAACAGATTCCGCTGCACTATTTGGTGATTGAGGAATATTATCAGCTACTTTTGGGCTGGGATGAGTTGAATTTGAAGGATTAGCAGACTCTGAATTCGAAACATCAACTAAGAACTCATCCACACATCTTATGAGACTCCCACTTTCATCAGGCACAGAGATGTTATTATCAGATACTTTCTGAATAGAAGGGCTTAGTTCACTTCTCAATTGAGAAGCAGATACTCCATTGCCATCTGAATCTGTGATAGCATTGTTATAATCGTCATTCTTCCCAGAAAACGCTTCACTGGATAGTTGAGGAAACTGGCTCCTGAGATAAGTTTAAGGTTCTGAAATAGTTAGTTTTTGCCTGACGGAAATGAATAGCATAATTTTATCAACATCATAAATAAGAAGACTCTTAAAGACAGTCTTATAACACCTTCTCAATCGACTATGTGCACTAACTCGAGGTGAGGTAAATAAAAGAGGAGGAGAATTCAGCCCTGGGAAACCTTGCACAACTGGAGCGGCCTTGACAGGTTGTATGGGAGAGAGGTTGCTAATATAACTGAAGACAGGTGAGTCCTGAGAACAAAATAAATAAAAGAGTAAGAGAAACGCATTGAAGGATGAAAAGAAACACATTCTTTAGAGCAGCCATCATGCAACCGTCATCTAGAAACTATGTCAGGTAGTTCACAAAATTCGAGTAGTTGTGGCAAGGGTAAAAAAAAGTAACTAATAATATCAAACCGTTGCCTAAAGCAGAAAAGGAGAACATGAATAGCCAACAACATCAAAGCTGAACCCAAAATATCTTTCATAGCCAATAACAGAACACGGGGAGCAAGCGTAAAATCAAACTACAATCTCCAGCTACCTTTCTGAAAGCAGAGGCACATGCAAAAAATAAGATGCACGCATATACCTTCCTCATTTTTTACCATAAACAAACTATGCATAAACAAATACTGCTACAATCTTATACCTTGCCATTGAATTTCTCAGTAAAACCCAAAAGATTAGAGAATCACCTTTGTTAAGAAATGGACCGGAAGGTCTATAACTCAACCACAAAAGTCAGCTCATGAGATGAGGATTGCACAAGAACATATAAGGAGACAAATAACCTTACCCAACAAATGTCCAAGACTTGACACCCTCCCACAAGACAAGCCTGCCAACTGAAGGTGGAAAACATAATATGTGGGTCCAACATATGGACAAACGATGACAGGGAAGAGCTTGGCTCAGATTGGCTCAGATACCATGATAAGAAACGGGATCATAACAGCCCAAAAGCTAGCTCATGAGCTGAGGATTGCTCAAAACCTTATAAGGAGACAAATAACCCATCTCTCTGACAATTAGGGAGAGTTAACAACCCTCAATGGAAAGCAGTAATCAAACCCCAGACACGATAATGAATAGAAAATCGCATCATTAAAATCAACCATTCAAGAGCCGGACATCAAAATTCAAAAAAATTGAGTAAGGAAATATATCTACCCAATTGAAATCGCATCGTACACAACCTCAACTCTACGAAATCACATTAAACAAGATAATCCAAAACATTCAAGATTAGTCTTCGATCCAAACTTATTAATCAATCAAATCCAATAGTCAGAATGTAAACTCAGGCATATACAATCAACCATTCCTCCAACAAATACCTAGAACTCAAATATTCAACCCAAAACAAATAGAGAATCTCATACCAAACACAGGCCACATGAAAATACTTTCAACTTAACAAAACTCATTACACCAAATTATCTGAAACTAAAAAAAATAACAAATTGGAAAAAAAAAATCCTAAACACCAAACCTAACAATTCAACTTCTTTAAACGGCTTCAAACCACTTAAAAGTAAGACAAAAAACTCTCGAGTTCAAGACCCGGGAATGGAAAAAAAAAAACCGAAAGGGAGCACTTCCCCTTTTAATGGGTCTTACATGGCACAAATTTTGATTAGCCATTGTTCAAGTGCGGGTACCGAACACCAGGTGGGAAACCACAAAAACAAATAACTCAAAAACCAAAAGAAAACAACAATTCAATGAAATTCAGTTTTTTTAATTATTTTAAAAAAAAACAGACCTTAATTTAACAAATTTCTACAAAAATGCCTCAACCCACTTGAGAGTAATTTGCACTCAATTTCAACTAAACAAAAAACCCCTAAATCCAACTAATTCTTTAAAAAAAATTGAAGTCCGCAAATTTCAGAAAAAGCCTTGAGCAAAGTCAACCCAGTTGAAACTAAATTGCACCTTACAAATGCATGTTACACCAAACAATCAAAAAACAACCAAACGAAAAGCAAATCAGACTAAGATCCAATAACCGCTCATAAATTAAATCCAATTGGACAGAAAACGTAAAATGTAGCGCATACATATATCCTTACAATCAAAGAAAAAGGTATAGAAATTACTTCGGTAGGTGTGGGGTTGATTGTAGAGTTGATGGTAGCGGTCTTTGAGGAAGGTTCAGGGGAGTCCATTTTGACTAACCCCTACTTCTCAAATAGCAGTAATATTCTTTGTGCATTTCTCCTTTTATTGTTTCTCGTTGATCTCCTGAGAACTTTGGAAGGCCACTCTGGACATGATAAAGATATCTTACCGGAAAATATGGCATGAAAATAGTAACGGTGGCTTAGGCGGGAAAACCATTTTTAGGGTGAAAAAACAAACGTATACATGTAGGCTAGTTGGTAGGTTTAAGCCCAAAGTCATGTGGTTCGGCCTTCTTACCACTTCCACTAAACTTGTAGGGGTGGTTCGGTTTTGGTATTGGAGCAACTAATCACAACATAAAATCTCGCTCAAGATAATATAGTATTTGATTGATTGCATAAGGAGAAAATAATTGTCACATAACTAATGCAGCTTTTGGGGTGATCGATATTAAATAATACATATATTAAGTTATGCAAAAATATTCGTATTATTTGATAATATGAAATAACAATATGTGTATTGATAATACAAAGATTAAGTTGTTAATAACTAACATGCACTCTTAAATGTAAGTATCGTAATAATCCATTTATAATCATCATATAACCCTTTATTATTAATTACCACGTACATAATTGTATAGGGTAAAATTGATAAAATGACAGGTGGATGCTCGACGAGTTGACACGTGAAAGTAAAGACAAGTAAGATATGAGTCAGCAAATAGCTGGCACCCGTTACGAACATGTGATCGGTGTTGAGTATGTGCCGAATACATTAGAACCGGGGAAAAAGATCTGAAAGGAAGATATTGGTTGGAAAAGGCAGCATTTAATGAGTAGCCGTTATAAAAAATCTTTGCATTAATGCTCAAACGTTATTCAGCCATCAAGAGGAGTTTTATCCATATTAAAAAGGAGCTTGATTTGGGGATCTTGTCTCCCTGAATTAAGCTATAAATAGGAGAATTTGTACTCATTGTTGGACACAAAAAATCATTTGTACACAAAAGGCAAAATCTTCTCTTATTATATTAACAACTTTCTTCATTTATGTTCTATATATTATTCTTATTATTGCTTCCGGAGAGGCTCACCCCACAATCAGACTTGTATTTTGTTCAAGCTTGTTTAATTAATTTATTTCTGTTCTTAGTTATTTTATAGTCTTAGGTCAAATTAATTTATGTGTTTATAAACCACGTTACAAATTTAATTGTACCGTTTTACAGGTAAACAATTTTGCACCTACCGCGGGCATAGACAATTGTGTTTTTACTTTGATCCATTCATCTGTTACTAACGGATTTTGACGTTTTTTCTTTAGTCAAAAACAAAAATAAGATATGGCAGTTAACGATGTGAACAACTCTTTCAATGTTAGAACAAACAACGAGCGTGAGGATATGTTCCAGCGTGCTGATTCAATTAGTGAAACTTGCAACGAACAGCTTCGGTTTGCGAGGAACGGAACACGGGCATGTGAGAAGTCTAAATCTTGATGATATGGACGATGAATCTGTTGTTAAAACAATAAAGTTTTGAGAGCGCAACAAAGGGAGATCATGAACCACTCTCAAGACAAAACCGGATAATGACGTAACTCTAGCAAGAATATTTTGGTTGATTCCAATAATTCCAATAGAGGAGTTCATGCCTTTCACATCGTGCATGCGAATCCAACAGCTCAAAGAACGGGTAATGTCGCTTCGAGGGAGGAGTTTGGTTTTAATGAAAATCAAGTAGGTAGTGCAGGTTGTGGATCCGGAAACGACAACAACGCAAAAGATCCCTTTCAAACCGAGCTCATGATATTCACGAGGAAAGTGAATGATCGGATGGATCAAAATGCTAAAGAATTCTACGCTCAGATAGATCAGATCCCGGGAGCACCACCGGTATTGAAGTGGCTGGATTCGAAGAAATATATGCAGTTGTCATTTAAACCAAGTGCGGCCCCGGAGTTGATTCCAAAAAGATTCAAGATGCCTGATATTCCGAAGTATGATGGAACTTCGAATCCAGAAGAGTATATCACAACTTACACTACAGTTGTAAAGGGAAATGATTTGGCTCCGCATAAGATTGATTATGTCCTGTTGAAGAAATTTGGCTAAACCCTAACAAAGGGTGTTATAACATGGTATTCTCTTTTACTTGAGCATTTGATTGACTCTTTTGAAATGCTTGCAGATTCTTTCATTAAAGCTTATGCTGGGGCGAGGAAGTCCAAGCTAGTATAGCACACATATTCAGAATCATTCAAGGAGAATCTAAATTGTTACGGGAATTCGTAATCCGATTTCAAAGGGAGAGGATGTTGTTTTCGGCAGTACCAGATAAGTGGGCAGCTGAAGCGTTCACCAAAGTTCTTAATCCTTTAAGTTTTGATACCTCCAAGAAATTGAAGGAAAACTTATTGGAGTTTCAGGCAACTATATGGGCAGACATCCATAATCATTATGAATCGATAATCAAAATTGAAGATGATCAATTGAGTTCTTCGGTGTCTTTCGAAGGTCGCAATCATGATTGGAATCAGGAACAGTTCAAAATTGATTTCGATGCAGACCAGAGGTCTTTCAAGAGCCGTTTTCATCCTTATAAAATGGGTGATGGGCGTGAAAATAAAGGTTTTCAGTCATCGGATAGAAGGACGGATCGTGGTCGGGGTAGCATGGCGTTATAGGAGTAGGAACCATCGGGGTCCCGGGATTCAGTATACCCCCGGTTATCCGATGTCAACTTTAATATTAGCTTGGTAGAACTGGTTTCAGCTATGAGAAACATCAATGAGACTAGATTTCTGAAACCAAATCGGTCATATACTAGTCAAAGGGATCTAATTTATGGTATGAATTCCACGGAACGCATGGGCACAAGACTGGGGACTGTCGACATCTTCATGAAGAAGTTGCAGCGTTATTAAAGAATGGTCATCTTAGAAAATTTCTAAGTGACCGGGCCAAGAACAAATATGAGAGGAATCGAGATCCTATAGAACCAGCCAAACCAGTTGTAGGGTCACCTTTTCTAATGATAAATATGATTTTTGTAGGATTTGAAGTAAATGGGGTGACATTTTCAGTAGCAAAGAAGACAAAGATTTCAGTAACTCATGGCAAGAGAGTCAGAGAAACATCAAAAGAAAATGAAATTACCTTCACAAAAGAAGATGATGATGGGTTTATTTTACCTTACAACGATGCTATGGTAATATCACGTAACATTTTAGATTTTTACAATTAAATGTGTGTTGGTTGATCTAGGTAGTTTAGCCAATATCATCCAGTTGAGAGTTGTGGAACAAGCAAAGCTAACCGGAAGCATAGTTCCAGCAACAAAGCTTCTGGCAGGGTTCAACCTAACAAGTGTAACAACTCGATGGGAGATTTTATTACCCACACACACCTAAGGCATAACGAAGACCACTTTGTTTGAGGTGGTGAATGGTGATATGTGCAATGTGATCCTTGGAAGGTCACGGATTCATGAATTGAATGATGTGCCATCGACATATCATCAACTACTGAAGTTTTCTACACTGGATGGGGTCAAACAGATTAGGAGGGATCAACCAGTTGTGAGAAAAATGAATGTAGTCACCTTATCCATCAGCAAGGCGAAAGAAACGAGCAAATAACAACTAGATTGAGCGATATTTGCTGCCATTCCAAATCCGGTAGGAGGTGTTGGATAGGAGGAGACATTGAATTATTATCGGGTGCCTAGATTATTTCAGGTACCGGACGAAGTAGATGCCAAGTCGACCACCGAGGAACTAGAACAAATCACTTTGTTCGCAGAGTTTCCGGATAAAAAGGTTTACCTGGGAACGGGATTGAGTCCCCAACTGAAGCTAACTTTTATTGTTTTTCTTGGTCTCATGCTGATATGACAAGTATTCCACTAGATGTGGTTGTCTACAAATTAAGTTGGGACCCTAATTTTCGGGTAGTGAAGAAAAAGAAACGCTGATAGCTGAGGTCAGGAACATGTTTGTCAAAGAGGATGTAGCTCGATTATTAAATATAGGTTCAATTCGTGAGTTGAATTATCCCGACTAACTAGCTAACATAGTGGTTGTTCCTAACAAGAATAATAAGTTTAGAATGTGTATAGACTATAAAGATTTAAATAAGGCATACCCCAAAGATTCTTTCCCGTTTCCAAACATTGACCAAATGATCGGTGTTACGGGCGACCATGAATTAATGAGTTTTTTTATGCGTATTTCGGGTATAATTAAATTAGGATGAACCCGAAGGATCAGGGAAAAGCCTCATTCATCACAAATTTTGGCACTTATTGTTATAATGTGATGTTTTTCGGGTTTAAGAATACCGGAGTCACTTATTAGAGGCTCGTTAATAAAATATTTGAACGTTAAATTTGTAAAACTATGGGAGTTTATATTGATGATATGTTAGTTAAGTCTCTTAGTGGAGGAAGCCATTTGACTCATTACAAGAGACGTTCGATATTTTGAGAAAATGCAACATGAAACTCAACCTAGAAAAATGTGCCTTTAGAGTTGGGTCCGGAAAGTTTCTTGGCTTTTTGGTTTCTCAAAGAGGAATTGAAGTAAATCCGGATAAGATAAAGGCTATAGAGAATATCCCTGACCAAATGAACAAGTGTGAAAGAAATGCAAAGGTTGACCGGCAGGTTGGCGGCCCTTAGCAGATTCATATCAAGGTCATTAGAAAAATGTCATTATTTTTTTTTTCACTTTTGAAAAAGAAGAATGATTTCACGTGGACTCCGAAATTCCAGCGAGCATTGAAAGATCTAAAAATATACTTGTCCAGTCCTTTATGGCTGACTTTAGTCCGAGAATAATGCCTTTAGCTGCTAAAGAAGCAGTTCTGGTATCGGGAACTGTTTTCGGTGTATGGACCTTGTTTACAGAAGGGTCCGGTCTTGGGATAATATTAATCACTCCTTCAGGAGAGACCTTGATACATGTCACTAGAACTGTACCTTTGACTAAAAATGAAGCAGAGTATGAGGCTTTGGTTGCAGGACTTGAATCGGCCCATGTACTAGGCTCCGAGGTAGTTGAAATAGAGTGCGACTCTCAGCTAGTAGTGAATCAGATATATGGAGTCTTTGACACCAAAGAAGAGCGCATGCAACAGTACTTGAATAAAGTTCAAGTTTACCTTCCCCGGTTTAGGGAGTGGTCGATAATTCATATCCCAAGGGAAGAGAACGCGGAGGAAGACGCGTTGGCCAATTTAGGATCATCCACGGAAATAAAAGGAGCCTATTCCGGTTCAGTTGTTTAGTTGT